GTACATCAATAATTTTTGCATATAATTTGATGAAGTATTATCAAAAAACGTAGTATTCGAGGCTATCGTTGTGGAAACATTGGAGATTAAGGTGAAATCTGTGTTTAAAAAAGTTCCAATATCAACTACCAAGATAAAAAGAGATAGACAGAAAAGGCAAATCAAAAGGAGGACGGCTAGTAAGCTAAGACTTTGCGAGTGACTTATTTGCTCTTTTTGTGGCAACTTTATCTCAATTTCGAAATTAGACGGCTTGGCTTTAAAATTAAGCGAAGGAAGATCATACATTATACTCCTCTAAAATAAAAAACTAGTGCTCAGAAGTTATAAAGCATTAGCTAGCCTTCATGTTATCCTTCTCAGACATTTCTCAGACATTTTTGTCCATTTGGGCCCGCTAGCGACCAAGCGGTAAAGTCGCTGAACACTGGTAGTTCGGTCCGAGTTTCGAATCCTGGAGAACGGCCTGGCTGCATGGGCGTTTTGGGGTTTTCCCCATGTGTAACATATGTACAATCCATTTTGTCTTGGAAAGTCCTCCACGAAGGCATCCCTTCCTTTAGGCAGATAGCTCTCGGAGCTTTGCTGTAAGCAAATAAACCAAACCAAACCAACCATGAATTTTATTGTTCGCTTAGACGGAGTAAATCAAAAATGATCTCATTTATTTAAGCAACTTATGAATGAAATTACTGTCAAAAATATTCTTCTCTCATTAACATCTAAATATAAATTTCATTGCATTAAAAAAAATTACAGCAAAATTTGAAAGGAAATTGTAATACGATTGTCTAAAAAGAAGATTGCAATACGAATTACCGCAGAAATAGAACAGCGTTGCTTTCGTAAATAGTGCTGCCATCTATTAGCAACAAATCAATGCAGCATCGACATCCATAACTGAACATCGAAAAAGTAATTCACACTTTCCCATAAAATAAATTAGAAGACAAATCTGACGAGGAAAAGTTTTATTATGGTTTTATTTTTGGATACCGTAGCGATTTGATAGGAGCAAGAAGATTGAGCTAACAAGCTAATTTTCTTCTAATAAGATGCCAATGACCTACACACTTTTAATTAGGTTCTAAAAATATCTTTCGTCCTACTAAAATAGAATTGGCGATTGAAATCAACAAGAAAAGCGAAAATATTCACAACAGCAACTATTTTCTATCTCACTCAAAATAATTGCGCTCAAATGCTTTCAATTCTTTTTTTTTTTTTTTTTTTTTTTTTTTTTGATTGGGTTAAGGTTTGAGGTTTAGTTGATTGCGGCACAGCCCACTGGGGCTATCTGAGAAGAACTAGCTCTTATACACGTTACACTTCAGAAAAACCAGGAAAACACCTATGCACGCAGCCCGTTCGTCTGGAATCGAACTCAGATAGGAAATAAAGAGTGTTCAAACATTTTACTGTTCTGCATTTGATGGGCAGGGAGGGAGAAAAGTAACTTTGCTAAATAGTTTTCAGAATTTTTCTTTTCAGAAAAAAATAATAGCGTTAAATTTCTACGAATACTATGGTTGTTTTGCATAGTAAAAACTTTTTAGTTTAGAGTAAGGAAGATTTATACTTTTAATGCTTAATTTTTAAATGCAGAGGGAAATACTTTTTATTACTTTAATGTAATATATGCTGTAATTTCAGTTTTTCTAACTCGTGCATGAAGTCATGTTATATTCTTATTTTTTTATTGAATTAGATTTTTTTTTAATCTGATTTCTTATTTGCGTCTATATAAATTCATCTTCTCATTCTGAGGCAGAATAATGGAAGAGGAATTATAACTGAAAGGCTGAAAACCTTAAGGTACGAGTATAAGTGTGAGCGACTATTTAGCATAGCTGTGACTCCATAAGTGTATACAACTATTGTCTTGAAATGGGGCCAACACTAGCAAGCAGACAGGAATTAAAATTTTAACTGCTGTGAAGGATCTGAAATGCTCGAAATAAGTCAGATTTAAGATCAAGTTAATTTAGTTGAGATAAAAGTAGTGCAAAAGCCGAACTAGTCGCTCCTGTATATTTAATTAAGGTTTTGATGCTATTATAAAAAAAATGCAGGAAATTGTCTATTACGTGTCGTACTGCAACTGTAATTTTTTTTTCATTTTTAAGATTTTAAAAACCCAAAGTGATTATTAGGCATAAACAAAATCAGCGGTGATTTTCATAAATTTGCATTACTACGAAAGATCTGTATTCAAACCTTCGAAAGCAGTACTGCAATTTATGAACGTTATCGCTGATTCTTTTTGCTTCATCATATCTAATAATAGTTATTCGACATGTTATTTTTACTTCAACAAAAGTATTTAGTATAACAAAAGTACAAATTTAATCGGTAAACCTTTTTAAAAAATTGTCGGACACTTTCAGTATAATCCTATTGTTGAAGTTAATTCATCAAGTTAACTGCTGTGCCTATAATGACAACTCACTAAAAGACAGAAGAAGGCTTCAAAAATTATCAAGGAGAAATGACTGAGAAAGAAAACTTGATAGGTAGTTATAATACATTATGACTTTTGCACATTATTTTTGTATTTTAACATGGCCTAATTTATGACCTTCTTTCCTCGTTTAATTTTCAAGACGAGCAGTCTGATTTCAAGTTTTGACAAAGTTGCTACAAAAAAGGATAAACAGCTTACCATTAGAGTGGCATCCTCCTTTTAATTCGCCGTTTCTGTCTACCTCTTTTTATTAAAGCCGTATTATTTGATATTAGAATTTTTTAAAACACAAATTTGACCTTCATCTCCAAAGTTTCTATCACAATAGCCTCGGAGACTTCGTTAAATGATATGCAAGATTTGTTAAGGTACAATGAATAAAGCTGTTTTAGAAAACAATAGAGTACACGTGTATTATTAATTTACTACAATGCTGTCGTCATCTCTTGCTACAAACACATCCATCCACTTTACAATAAGCCTGTCTTCTCATAGACAGGACATTAAGCTTATATTCGAAACGTATGTAAAAAATTAATAATACACCTATCTGCCAGACTAGTTTCATTTGCATCAGTTACGGATGTTGAAGTTAATAGGAATATTAGTGACTGTAAATTTTCTAATTAGATTTTTCCTGCTATAACATAAATTTTGGTTATATGATGGGCATAAGCATGAAAACATTAAGTATTCCAGTATTCCAGTACTGAAAGCAAGGTTGACAGATGATTTTTTCATCTTTACAAATATTTTCTCTTAAGTTTCATTCTCATATTAATTTCACTATTACCGTTAAACGCAATTTTCTGTTTAGTATTAGTGTATCAATGATAATAAATTTTTATTTGACAATGAGCCTGTTTCTATCACTGAGTTTATCATCAAGAATAAATTTGTTTATATATCAAAATATAAAGTTTTCCTGAAATGCAAAAAGACTAATAAGTAAGTTTTCCTCTTGATTGTGGTTCATTTTTGAAGCAAACTTGCTTTGCTTACAATTTTATGATTTCCCGTTTATGTTCCTTTTCCTGTAACTAAAGTACGTCATAATTTCTTCTCAGACGTTTTTACTAAATGAACTAAAAACTTACTAAATGACTACTAAACTTACTAAAATGAACTACTAAACTTACTAAAATGAACTTGACTAGAACATCTATCACTAAATTTGCTATCAGCGTTACGCACAAAATGCACATAACCTGTAACGCACAAAAGTAAAATGCGTAAAGTTTGTATAAGAATAGTAAAATATACCAAAAAAGCTAATTTTCTCAAAATGAAATTATGAATTTCAAAATGCAATTTTATTGAACTATTTTGCAATATGACTCACTTTTAAAGGATGTAACATAAACCTTATATTCTGGCAAATATTTGAAAAATTAGAGTTTATAAGTTATGAAAAAATGCTGTTCGAAATATCATGCCAGATCTAATTTAATGGTGATATATAATGTTTCTGAAGGCTTGCATATTCATTTAAACACTTACCTGTTAAAAGAGCTTACAGAAATATCAATAAATAAATAATATGATGTCATAACCGTTATTATTTTTAGGGAAAACAAGGAGGTTCTCAGTATTAATATTTCATATTGTACAAATTTCCCTAATCTAAAGTTATGATAAAATTTGTAGAGGCACTAGACTTTTTCGATGTCAGGAAACTGAAGTAATCCGCTGCTATGCCCTCGCCAGTATTTGACCTCCGGACCTCCCAAATATGCGTCGAGAGTGCATATTTGGGATATCACAAAAGTATGCGGAATGGAAAGAGAAAATGAAATATATACTCCCTCTTTTAAAGGGCGACCAGGGATGAAAGCCTAAAATCGCAAATGCTGGTGGTGACGAATTATCGTTTACCACCTTTTTAGTTTGGGCGCCACTTATACAGTCATTATTTTATGGCAGGAAACTGAAGAAATCCACAATACCCTCGCCGGGATTCAAACTTTCGAGAACGCTCAGAGTGTGCTTCTAGTTACATTACGAAGGTATGCAGGAAGGAGGGAGAAAATGCCTTATAAATTATTATCTATAAAGCAGTATTCTGAAGCTGCCGGAAAATATCTGAATAAACTAATACATAGCGCGAGTAACGTGCTAACTAGAACACATTAAATCCAACATTTGCTGTGGAAATTAAAACAGTTATATTTGTAATGCACATTTTTTACTTTTGCTCTTGGAATAAATTATATTTACTCTGAATATATGTTACATGTATGTTTGTTTACTATGGACATATGGACATATTTTACAAATATATTAATGCATATATATTTATTACAGATAAAAAGTAAAGCAGTAATATAAAGGCGTCTTATATATAAAGGCTTAAAAAACTGAGCGTCTTTATTTCTTGTTCATTATAATAAAAATCAAGAATATAAATATGTAAAAATTTTAAAGTAAGATATTTCAAGAGAAATGTTTAAGAAATTTCAAAATTCTTTATGTTTCTTTAATATAAACATGCAGCGGGTTTATATATAAAATGAGATTTCTATGAATGACAACGAAATCTTTTTACATGAATTCCCTTTATTTCAGAAATTACTACAGCGAAATGTTACACAAACAAACTATTTTAAATTCACTTACCCTGACAGCATACAAGATTTTTTAAAAAAAGGCATCTACATTAATCATGCATTTGGGATAATATTCAAATATGCTGAAACAGTTTTCAATTTACTGCAAAAAACTACATACAGCTTTAAAATTTTTATAATGAAAATCTTTACAATTCACTTCATTTCAATAGTTATTACATAATATTTTTCTACTAATAACTAATACTACTGATATTAATAGTTGGTCATTAATAGGCATTTCAAATGCCCACGAATTTTAATATTTGTATAAAATGCAATATTATATAACCTTTCAACAAATCATTGGCATTTTGAATTACATTAATTTCTTCACTACATTAGCCTCTTTTCTATCGCCAAAACTATTTCAAGAAATATTTTTCAGTTCGTTAATTCTTTGATTTATATTTAAACAAATAAATATGATTACTGTTCAAACTAAAAAAAACACCAATATCAAGCATAAAATTAGGCAAAACATTATTTGCTCCTGAAGAAAATGGACCTGCCTTAGAAAGCAAAATATACGCCAGAATAGGTTGCTGTTTCGTATAATTTTATATGAGTACTGTTAAAACTATCTTTAACTAGAGCTAAAACAATAGTATTTAACTGTATAACTTGAATGAACCTTGAAGTCCGAAAAATAACACTGATTAGGTAGGTATTAAAACTAAACACTTTACAAAAATCTCACTGTTTGATAAAAAAATTTATTTCTTTGAAACAAATTTATACATTGAAATTCAGATATCTCCGAAATAGTTATTATTAACATCATGGGAATCAAAATTATGTATACAATCAAAATAATTCCATATAGACTTCCTAGTTACTGTTCTGCTCAGCAACAGCATGTCTCTAAATTTCTTATACAGCAATTACCTGAATCATTAATATCGGCCTAAATTATTATAATATTATTTTATAATAGTATTCCTGAAAGTTAAAAATCTTTCAGAAACCAAATGCAGGATTACTGTGTCTTTGATGCGTAAGTATTACCATACCTTTTTTCCGTTATTTTGCTTTCGCTAAAAAAAATTAAACTGTTTCTTGCCAAAACCTTCGTAACTCGTATAGAAGAAGGGTTGTTGGTTTTTCGTGTTTTCTCTTTTAATAATGCCTATTCACTAATTTTAACTCATTTTATTCAACTCATAATTAACCTTGTATGCCATGCAGAAGGCTTTTAGGTCTCGATTCTTTCATTAGATATTCCTTCTGAAAAATCTAATAAATTATAAAGTTATGAATTAATTACTTAAACATTTCTGATACTTTTTTTTTATTATGGAAATACTTCCTTAGAATGTAATTTCCTGTCGCTTTTCTCACGTTGTGAAAAAAAGCGAAATTTATGAAAGAACTATCCTCTCATGCATCGCAAAGAAACTACAGATATTTGTTCCCGAAATACCTGTAGACTGAGGACATTTCGCAACTTAAAAGGTATGTTACATGTTAAATAACGTTATGTACTGATGTTTACAACATATAATAAATCGCTTTGAATTTCAACTTCTAAGTATTATTTGTATTAGTTGAGTTTTATTAAACATTTCCTGACTCTTTTGTTTCAACATGCACAGCCTCCGGGATGAATGATAAGTTTAGAAATGGTATGAAACAGACTGTATGGATTTCAATCTGGTTCTGTAATTTCGTCAATATGTAAGAAAAAAAGAAAGCTGGCGAGGTATCGGAACTGTTAATTACACACCTTCTGCCTAGTTGTATTATATTTTCAATTCTTGGAATAAAGAAGAATTGGGAAACATTCATTAAAGGTCAGTTCATAGCTGGATGAGTGTGAGATTATTTAGATTTGACTAATGTTATCAAACAATATAGTAATCAACTAAATTGAGCTTTTGTTCCGATTAGGTTAAGATGTTTATTTTCCTGCTCACTTTGAATTTACAGTTATTCAGAATATTAAACACAATTTTATGTTACAATTTTATTTTACAATAAACACAGGTAAGGTTACTTTAATAAATAACTCTTATAATTTTATAGTCTTCTCATTATTCCTAGAAAGTGCTGCTGCGGTCAATACTAAATCTGTAAACTTCAATGAACTCCTTATGTTACCCTACTTTCGCGAACCTTAGATCAGCGAAAGCTCTATTTCTACTTCTGTAGAAAGTTCCCCCCCCCCAAAGGTGGGCTCTAACCGTTTATAGGCGTTGGCCACACTCACTAAGACCGGAAGCGGTGATCTCTTTTTTTATAAACTAAACTCAGTGGCGTAACAGCCCTAGTGAGCCACGGCCTACAGTGCCCCTGCTTTCTTGACCTTGGGCCCTTCAGTGCATCAGCTTATGCCCTGGGCAAGTGGTTGGCTTGTCGCAGGACCCCCGGTGTTTAGTCCCCAAGCGAACTTGGTACTCATTTTATCGACCCATCCAAGGGATGAAAGGCTGAGTAAACCTTGCTCAGCCCGGGGATCGAACCCCGGACCTGTGGTGCGGCTGCGCGACGCACTAGGCACTGATCTCTTTATTATGAAGGCAACTAATAGGTGGGACACCATTGCGTCCTATGAAGGGACGGACCAATTACATCTATACCTTCTCAGAGATTCGAACTCGGGCCCTTCGATACGCCAGTCAGAGTCTCTAACCACTTTCCCTTCTGGGTGGCATGTAGAAAACTAAGACGTAATAGATCTAGATAGTTAAAAATAACGTATTAAATAATATTGCTTTTGATGATAAGCAGTTGCTACATAACTGCTGAACACTGGTAATACAGTTTGCATTTTATTTCAGGAAATAGAGCAAACTAGCTACGTATTTATTTTTGTGATCCCTCTCCCTCTCTGTGTTATAATTACTGACCGTTCTTCCTTAAAAAGTCCACTAAAGCAGATAACTCTCGAATGCTTATCATATCAAATTCCCTACCTTTTTTAAACAACTACCGGAAGACAAGTAATGCATAATTTGCGGAGAATATGAAATTTTTAACAAAACCTGATATTTTTGCTTATTTACCTTTAAAATATCAAACAAATAGCAAAGATATAACTTAGATTGCACGAAGTTAGAACATTTCATTGTTTCACTAGCAAATTTCGTTTTAAGTTATAAAAATAACAAGAGCTTTCTCAGGCAATAAAGATCTTTTCACAGGAAGCCACATATATCTTTGTTTCTGGATACTTCTATTCCTTTTCACTATTTATTTATTCATTTTAATAAATTTATTTATTTATTTTGTCTATGTGTGAGATTTCATCCTTTTATATATTTATGCTATTTTTTCTCGTTATACTTCAGTTTTCAGCAAATTTAAGACAACATTCTAGGTTTCTAGGTTAACTGAAATTTATGCTAATTTAAATTAGAGAACATAACTTTGTACACATATTTAAAATATCATCTGTATTATTCAACGAAATAAATATTTCATTCATTCCTTCTCTTTCTAAAAGGAAATTATTCATGAGATAAAATTATCACCTTTGAATCAATGGGAGGTATGTGATACATAAAATATGATATACATGTTTACAATGGGAAAAATATAACAATGAAACAAAACTTTAAAATTCTCTATGCCATATATCATTTTCCAACCTTAAAACGTAAGTATGTAACTTCCTTTAGAACTTAAGCATAATTTAATATAGTCATGTATAACACTCATTTTGTGGCAATACCTATTATATGAGGCCTAATAAAAAGCAACACAGATGAAGGATTCATTTTTTTGCAAACAACGTTCGAGAATCCAGCTTCATGAACTTGGTCACCAATATTTCTATGTGGATAACAACCGTCAAAATAGAGGGCCCATAGCGGTGCTATAATCCTTTGAATTGTGAAGCTCCATTCACTTTCTGGAAATGCAACATGTTCCAAGAAAAGAAATTTGCCATTCTGAAAAGTAAACATATAAAAATGTTTAGAAATACGGCAATGGTTAATGAAATTTGCATTTATAGCATAAAACAATATAATAAAAAGAAAGAACTAATTCTTCAGGTTCACACAAGTTCAATTAGAAAACATTTGTAAAAATTTATCTCTTCCAATGAAAGGTCTCCAATGAAAGGCCAGTAAAAATTAGGTATTAATCACTTACAGACCGCATACAGATAAGTTCTTTAATTTCATTTCATTTCTTTCATTCTTTCTCTTTATATCAGCCAAGTGCTCCCTCATTGAAGCTCATCACCCTTTAAGCATCCTAATATAGACTTAGACCCAAGTATCTCCTCAAAAAGAAAAAGTTCACTATAATCGTCAACAAATGCAATGAAGAAATTCGCCACGTCTAGCGATCGGGAGGGCCGAAGTTCGAATCTCGGAGAGAGAATTTCATATTTTTCATGTTTGCTACTTCGACAAGCCTAATGACTCTACTCAGTCAAGCGTAATAACCTCCAAACATATCCATATTCCTAAATGTTATGCCATACTAATAAAACAAATAAAATTGACTAATAAAAGCACAAAGCTCTTCATGTTTCTAATTCATGTAACACACCCTTTGGAGGATGAATGGTTAAGGCAACGAAAAGTTGGTAATTTACTGTGATAATATTCGATAACTGGCAATGCGGTGGACCAGCTATACGAGTAATTTTATACTTTGCCTCTATATTCCAAGAGTCGTTTCAGGAAGCGTGACCGTTAATTTAGATACTTTCTGTCGTACCAATTTTAGAACTGTTATAAAAAATGCGCAGTAATATTTTCTTCACCATCAAAACTAACCATTGATCAGCGTTCAACACAAACATTACTTCGGTAAAAAAACATTACTAATTACTCACTTTGCGATGACGGACTGGCTTTGTATGTCAGCACAGTAGCGCTTATGTAGCTGTAGCGCTAGCAGTTAAGTCTTTATCGAAAAGTCTTGTAATCATTTGACCCACAGACAACATGATTGCGGTTGCAGTGACAAGCGCTTTGTATGTTTGTTGAGTTGTTCAGCTACCGAAGTAACAGAGGCCCTTAGCAACAACAGACAGAAAATACGAGATATCTAGTAAAGAAAAGAAATTCTCACAGCTTTTAAAAGAGGTTGTAAAATATAACTGAAAGTGGCACAAATTCGTCAGCATATGTTCATCAAATACAAGTGCATAACACGAGACTCGCAGTTCACTAACTAACAATTAAAGAGAGAAACAAATAAACAGCTATGTCGGTTGTAAACCTAGTATATATTTCCTTCACCGCCTCAAATGCTTCTTCCATTGTGATCACGAACTTTATTGCTCCTGATACATGCAATCTCCTGCTGTGAGTCTACCACATTGTCAAGTTGGAGTCTGAAACAAATGTATAAGATGTTCAGCCTTGTTATAGTGAAGTCAACTTTGTTGACGGTATTCAACATTATTGGTGATGTCAACATTTTGATGATATTCAACTTTATTCACGAAGTCACCTTTATTGACGATTTGTTATTGTTTGAAGTCACCTTGTAGAGTCACCTTGAAAAATGTACAATAGTCTTGCGGGAATTCGAACTCTGGACCTCTCGATTACACATCGAATATGCTTCCAATTCGATGTGTAATCGATCCAATTCCAATTGCACAACAAAAGTGTGCAGAAAGAAGGGAGAAAATACCTTATAAACTTTGTTCATGATACTGACAACTTTGCTGACTATTTGTAGCATGCTATCGTAAACTCAAATCTCTTAGAACTCTATTTGCACTTTGCATTATTTGAAATTCCAGTAAGTGCAAATAATTGCGGGAGAGCGTTCCATTTTATATACCCTGCCATGGGGAAGGGGGAGTTTGCTGAATGCGGCACTTTGGATCTGTTGTTTTGTTCATACGCTTGATTGCGCTTGAACGATTCGTGGCAGTTATGGTCAGGAAGTCCGATTGTTTTCCTTTTTATCCATATATATATATATATATATACGCATGTGTGTGTGTAAGATAAGGAACTATGTAAATCAGCTTTATAATAAAATTTAATAATAGCCTCTTAATTCCACATTTTTAATTTCGGTATTTCCTCTCTGTGTTCTAAAAATAGTAATAACTTTCCTGCATTGCGTCATTTCTAGATCAATTGATGACACATGGCTTGATTAACGCTGATGACTTAGCTAATTCAAAACCTGAACTCAAAATTTCGAGAACTGAAACTTTTCTCTTAATAAGCAACTTAAACCAAAACTTTCTGTTGGCGAGCTTCCATACTGGATAATTGCGCTGTCTAGCTTCTACGCCTCTTCAAGACGCTCTGCTCTCTTCTTATCGCAGCAGTATCAAAAATGTAAATGTTCTTGAGTAGACACAGTTAGAGTGGCAAGTAAATTGTGGCTGCAAATGTTAATTGAAACAAAGCTGAATATTTAATCTCTCTCGGCTTCCAGGTTTCCTTTCAAATGGGGTAATCCTGCATAGAATGTGATGCTATGTCAATAAGATGTATAAAAATACTTTGCAATATACATAACAGCAAGGTACATTGTAATATAATTAGGTCAGATTTTAATAACAGCTGTTGAAAATTTTTAAAATTCCATCTAAAGATTACAAGAACGCGTTCCGTATTATCCTAATGTCAAGATGAACATTTTTAAATGAAATAAAGTTTTAAAATCGTTAGAGAATCTGTAAAGTACCCAATAACACAACATTTTTTTAAATAAAGTTTTCATCATTATTAAAACTAATTGCTGCAAATTTAATTCAAATAATATTATTCTTGAATATCCATAAATATTATCATTGAAAGTGTTAGAAATCAGAATAAATGTTTAAAAATTAATCAAATGCTTAAATTTAAAGTGTACATTTACAGTTTTCGTCGTCGCACATTTATGCATTATATGTCTATGACAAAATTATAACAGACATTAAAGTTTTGAAGAAAGAGTTTCCGAGCATCTAGTTAAAAAGGAAACAGTAAACGAGGATAATTTACATTAAAGTAAAACTGTACAATTAAAATCTTCACTGGACATGCTATGTCAGACATTCGAGCCTACACGTAACATTGATCCTACATACCACTTATCTCGAATCTCCTAGAAAAATAAGAAAAAGCACATCTATGCAGGAATTATGTTGATTGAGCACTAAATTATAAAGAATATATTAATACGCTTACAATTTAAAAACAGATAAAAAGTTTATAAATAATTAAAATACGAGTTTTTTCACTCTTCGGAGATCACCACAAGATAAAAATTAAAACTTCTATAATACAATATTATGAATCTAACTTTTAGCAACTTTAGCATTCATATTTATCAGTATGAAATAACAACAAATATCAGTAACAAAATATCACACGCATTTCATAACAATTATTCGAATATTTCATCAACATAAGACTTGGAATTCACACTTACTTTTTTCAAGACCCGTTTCACCTCTTTTAAAACAGCTTCAATGTTTTCAACGCTGCAAAGAACGTAAGTTGAAATTACAACATCCATGGACGAATCTTCTATCTCATGCATATTCTCCGCCATGCACAAAACTGTTCTTTCGTATGTTACTTGAGGATATTTCTTTTGGTTCTCGCGGAAATACGTCTCAAAAGATGCATTCATATCTACAGCAGTCAAATGAGAATTATCTGGATAAAATTGCAAATTGGCTCCGGAACCTATTCCTATCTCTAATATTCTAATAGGGCGGGATTTATCCCAGTCTTTTAAATGTTCTTTCAAGAGTTCGAAGCACTGTTTTCGAAACGGTACTAATTTAGGTTGAAATATTGGACCCAAGCATCTCATGAAAAACCAAGAGAACCATTTATCTCGAAATGTCTTGCTGTATTTCAAAAGAAGCACAAATGGCAACAAAACAGACATTGATGATATCCACCAAACTGTTGTCAAAGCAGCACATAAAGCAACCTCCATCGCTTAGAACTGAATGCTGTGGTTACAAGTAAGCAACTCAGAAATGAAGATGAAATCTTTTAGCTTCTGAAAAATAGTTCACCTGGGGATAAAAGAATATATTCTTAGCATTGTTAAATAATACTGAAATAATATATTTACAGTTTTTACTTACTAGGCAGGTGAACATTTGCCTCACACATAATAAATATAATATGTAATTAATTATTTGCAATAGACTCAACTTTAATTACAGCATAATTTAAAATCCCAAACCCTGACAACTCAGGTTCACAAGTTTAGCATTTTTTTGTATTATGCTTTTCCGACATTCCAAGAGAAAACATTTATTTACTGCTTTAAATGTATAATAAATACCAAATATCTACAGTCAACATTATAACAACAAATCAGCGTCTTTGAATGGTGAGTCTAATGTCGTTGGCAAGGATAGCCCATTAAAATTCATTTATTTATATGTAATCACACTAATAATCCAATTCGTATATAAAGTATATAAAGTAGGTAAAATTAAGTCCTTGAAAAAAAAAAACATTTTGCTTCATCTCACAGGAGATATTATAAAAGACAAAAATATGACTGAAATTAAGTAAAACTTAAGACGTACGAAATTTTAAAATACTAATAGTATTCAAAACATTCATTAGATTGGTAAGTATTAGAAAAATGCATGTATTGCTACAGAATAAAATTTTTTCTGAGCATACCTTTTTTTTTTTTTTTTTTTTTTCGAGGAAGAAGAAACGCACGTTTTCCGTAGCGTACATCAGTACTTATATTTATGCCTGTATTTGAATATAAATTTCCGTCTTAAAATAGATATTAGGAATTTGATACCTGGTGTACAATTCTGTTTCATGACTAAAGAAACTTTATGGATTAAAATTAAAATTAAAAGCATGGTCGAAGCAAAATAAAAACCATGATTGGAATTCTAATAACAATAAGAAACTAACAAACTGTTAAAAGTACCTTTTATATCATTGAGACCAAAACATCAGTTTTGAAAATAATCAGTTAACTTTCAGCAAAGTTGCTTTAACGAAGATGAATGACATGAACGAAAAATGGACATAAACTAGGTCACATCTTAAATATAGTTCTCAGTACATGTTCCTAAAATAAACTGCTTTTAAACTTGTCAGTCATTTCGATGCTTTTAATGTGCAGACGTATTAATAAAGTTAAATGAACTATTCTGACTTCGCTTCTGAGATTGGCTTTGTATTTACCTTTCTTAGATATTATGAACATGTAAAGAATTCGAAGCTGAAAGGGTTATGACACATGTAAAAAACTAAACAACTTTTAACACTAATCATATATTTATTTAATATTTAGGAACACTATTCAGCGACCTTATGCTCTAAAGATACGTTTACTCTTTCAGGTGAAATAAGCAAAGTCCCAAAAGAAACGTGTCGGTATTTGTAGCACTAAGCACAATATCTCTTTGAGCATATTTTTGTTTTCAAACAATGATTCAAAAGGTGGGATAAAATCGCTGTTTCTTAGAGAAGTGGTTTTTAGCTATACCTTTCATGCAATGGTCAAATCCAAACTTGTCGAGCTGAAACACACAAGTCCGCTTTTCTTTTAACACAGCTTTCTATTTAAATAAGATATGCGAAAACGACTGATTTAAAATTAAAAAAATTTACGTAGTCAAACAGGGTTTGATTTAAGTTAATTTAATCATTATATTCATTGATATAAACAGAGATGATCTACATTTAAAGTTGCAATCAGATTCAGTCTTTTATTTATTGCTTAAATGAATATTTCAACAACGATGTATAATGACTTTAGTAACAGTATTTAAAATTTTCGACTAATTTTAAAATTTTGGTGATAATTATACTATTTCATTATTTTGAAGTATAAAAATACAACTCTTAAGCTATTTTAGGAAGCCAATAAAATTAATAAATTTCAAGACATTTACAGGTTAAAAAGCCATTATTATTCAATTTAGTTCATATTTTTAGTGCACAACTTCACGGCATCTTTTATAGAATGCATTGAAAGTATCGATTCAATAAAGGAACAAAATTATCAAACCAGCTTTTTAGTAATTGCACTCTAAGTTCTGAAAATTGTACAAAATATGTTCCTTTCCAAAGAACTGAGAAATATTTTCTTAGCACTTAAATTTCATAATGCATGAATTACGGTGATTATCTTATGAAGAAATTTATAATTTACTGAAAAATAATTGATAAAAAAAACTAATGATTTTATATATACGCGTAATTCATTTTATAAAAATGTAACTAAATTCATGAGAACTATAAACTCGAGAACCGCCATTATAAAATTAAAATAGAAAAAGAAAATTCATGCAATTAACTTATTGAATTTAATTCATTTTATTAACTTAAAATTATCTTTCAAATCTATTTTTGCATAATTAACTGATTTAGATACGCATAAAATTGTGTTAAAAGTTTGATTAGAAATAAATACAATATTTTACTAAAATACATTACTTTTGCTTACTTCAAATCTAAGCAGTAAGTTCAAATACTAAATTTCAGACCTAAAAAATAAAACATTTGCGTTCATCACTATTTCTTAAAATTCAGTTTTACCTCATAATTCAGGGAGGGGGAGGAACTAATAGTCATTCATTAAAACGTTTATAAACCTTGTTTTGTACTTAGAAAACCTGAAAAGAAAAAGTCAAATTTTCTATTTCCGTTTGAAAATTAGCAATATTTTTGGAAAAAAAAAATGATAACGTTCAAAGCATTAAAGACAAACAGAAGCTCCACTTACACATATCATTCGGCAAATAAGTTGTCAAATAAATATACGACGATTAGATTGTTTATTATAATTTAATTATTTTAAGACCTTGCTTTTTACTTACCAATTAATGACTTTCTTTCCGAAAAATATTTTGAAACAGCAATTCAAATCCAGCTCAATAGAACGGTACATGAGAACACCTAATTAGATCTCCAGTATCCTTCGTTCCAAGCTTAGTATCAGAAACAATCAGTAAGTGGTCAAATATGTTTTTCATAACAAAGCCCAATAGCTAGACCTTGTTTCATTCCCTCTCACCTGCAAAATGAAAGCACTTTCCTCTACTAACTGCCCTACATATACGCAGTACCTGAAAACTGTCATCACAATACTCCCCCCGGCTCTTTTTAAGGTTGCAGCTTCGAAACAGGTTATATCGCAAATGAAGCTGATGCTAAAACTCTGTAACTAAGGTAAATTAACATTTTCGCAACATCTCGTAACAGTTAAAAGTCACCTCACTCTTCTTACTCAAAGAGTTATTTGTATAACAGATAACAGAGGGCGCTGCCTTTTCGCCCCGATACTTAACTAGAGCTGTATAGTTGGAGACCTTTTCAGTGGATGGACTCGATAGAAGAATTTGGAAAGGAATGGCCGCTTGTTAAGAGTGCGGTTTTCAAGTTATTCTTCTCTGGATACCGTAATCTTGACAACATTGTTAGTTTTTGTGTTACTAACTTCTTGAAAAATGTTCAGAATTAAAATCACCTGTAAGTAATCAATAAATAAGCTTTCAATAAGAGATATAGCAGGAATTGTGCGATGTTGAAAATAATCCTACAGCAAAGTTATTGCGGAATAATTATTTTTTAATATAGTAATTGTTTGTTTCAGCAGTCTGGCAAATCAAAATACCGGGTGATCAAAAAGTCAGTATAAATTTGAAAACTTAATAAATCACAGAATAATGTAGATAGAGAAGTAAAAATTGACACACATACTTAGAATGACATGGGGTTTTATTAGAACCAAAAAAAAGTTTAAAAAAAGTACTGTTATCGGGCCTTTTTTCTTCGAGGAAATGCGTGATTCTGGTTTTGTAACTGCTACCGTTACGGGTGAGAGGTACGCCGATATGTACAGAATCGCATTGTCCCCAGCCTGGCTGATAAACACCGCTGGAACGTACGATTTTTTTTATGCAGGATGGCGCTCCGCCCATATTGCTAGACGCGTGAAAGATCTCTTGCGCGCGTCGTTTGGTGATGACGTGTGCTCAGCCGCCACTTTTCGTCATGCTTGCCTCCCAGATCCCCAGATCAGGTCCGTTGCGATTATGCTTTGGGGTTACCTGAAGCGCAAGTGTATCGTGATCGACCGACCGACATTCTAGGGATGCTGAAAGGCAACATCCGACGCCATGCCTCACCATAACTCCGGCCATGCGTTACAGTGCTGTCACAACATTATTCTTCGATACAGTATTGTTGAGGAATGATGGTAACATATTCAGCATTTCCTGTAAAGAACATCATCTTTGCTTTGTCTTAATTTGTTATGCTAATTGTTGCTTTTCTGATCAGATTATTGCTTTTCTAATAAAGCCCATGTCATTCTAAGTATGTGTGTCAATTTTTACCTCTCTATCTACATTATTCCGTGATTAATTAAGTTTTCAAATTTATACTGACTTTTTGATCACCCGGTACCTGGAAAATTGTCACTACAATAATTGCAAGACCCGTAAAAGATTATGGTAAGAGTAAAAAAAGATCTCTGTTTCACAAGAATACTTTTCGAGAACTTATTTAAGAAAAACTATAACTTCTTTAAACTACTATAATAAAGAAAGAAAAAAAGACATTTTTCACTTCTAGTTCCATTTCACTGAGAGCAAAACTGATCGAAAATAATATTCTTCCAACGGCTGTATCCCTAACGAGTAAATTCGTTGCAATAAAACTTTCCTTTGGTCTCTCCGTTCCAGAATTTGAGGAGAAATAATATCAGATAATGAAAAACATAAGCATTCTGTACAAATTTATGATCTAATGCTGCGCACATTGCGTTTAATGCAGCATGCAACAATCATAAAGCAATTAACATTTCATTTATAAACCTTTCATCTGCTAGGTATACTCAGTTATCAAAAGAGTTCTAAATTTGTATAAATATAACGCATAGTCTGATTGTCATATTATTTTTGACTTTCACTGCTTAACCACACGTTAGAACTAAAAACTTGGTGGTGTATAAAATCCGTCTGTTAACGTTTTCTCGTTCCCCTCTATCTTTCTTTCCCCCGGCCCACCAGCGGCCGAGCGGTAAAGTCGCTGAACACTGGTAGTTCGGTCCGAGGTTCGAATCCCGCGAACGGGCTGGCTTGCATGGGTGTTTTATGGTTTCTCCCATGTGTAAACGTGTATACGAGCCAGTTTTCCTTAAAACGTCCTCCACGAAGGCATCCCTCCCCTTAGGTAGATAGGCCTCGAGGCTTTGCCGTAATTAAATAACCTAACCTAACATTTCTTTTCCCTCTTTCCTCCCCCCCTTCTTCGTCTTAAAAGGTTATTAAAAAGTTTCAGGTATTAAAAAAAACATTAAATTATAACTTCAGTTACGTTTTCCCAATATGCTTATATTTTCTATTGCGTTAACAATCAGTTAAGAGGTTATCACACATGGCTACAGTCCCTGCTAGACGGGGCATTTCTGAGAAACGAGATTCTGGTAGCACTGGTTTAAACGGGAGGATTCCTAGAAAAAAGAGCCCTGCCCGAAGCGAAATCCCGCCTAGCTATGGAAACAACGTTGCGGGTACGCGGGATTTTTTCAAACCTCACCGAAAATGTCTCGGATGGACCTCAGTCCCGGGTAGAGACAACAAACCAGACGAAAGTTCTGCTTCTTGATCCCAATCTGAGCGATATAATCGATTAGTGTTTGGCGTTCAAGTCTTTGTAGTAAGTGAAAAAGGTAACCTAGCTACGTGGTTTCCCTGGAATTGTGCGGGTTGTGAGAATTGTCCTTTTGATTTCAAGTCCCGCGTAGCCGAAACATAATGTGATTGGGACTTTTAGGTGAAAAACATAACTACCGAAAGAAAAAAAAAATCTACGCAATTATTTTTTCCCTCGGAATGGGGAATGCAAAGAATTTTTCTAGTTTGGAACTCTCACGTCAAACTTATATATTATTTTTTCACAGAATCTATTTGAACTCATAATCAAAAGCCCCAAAATCCAGTCTCTGCAGTCTCATTAAGTCACTGTGAAATAATTTTATTATGAATTTTTAATTGATTTGAAATTTTTTTCTGCCGTTTCTACATCAGAAAATTTCACAGAAATAAGAAATATTCAAATACATATAATATATCATTTTTTCTAAAAGAACTGCTTTAAAAATTAGTTACATGCAAATAATATTTGAAATAAAAGAGTTATTAGGTAAACATCAAAAATAAATAATTTAAATAATTTAAAATTTTGTTTCCCATTGGGAACTTGGCATTATGTGATATGCGTAAGGCAGGTCTGAATGTAAACATCTGGGGAGCTGTATTAGTTTTATATTACCTTTTATCAATATTACTGCTTTTAATCGTAAAACAAATTTTCATGCATTCACCTTTTGATATTTGGAGACAGATTTAAAAACACCAGCGTTTTCTGATTCTTTTTAAATGTTTTAATTTTAATTGGATACGAATTCCTTTGCAAATTTCACTGTTTTTCAGATTTAAATAAAATTTGAAACTACTTAGATATATGCATAGATAACTATTTGAAAGAATTGTATGTGCAAATGCTTCCCTTAAGGTTTCAGGAGTTTGTTTGGACATTTTTATTTTGCATAAAAGTTTGATTGTTTTACACTTTTACATTTATACTCAGCCCCTAATATCTTCTATATCAAAACTTCACAAGAAAGAATACTATCTATTAAATGAAACTGGTGAAAGTAAGGAGGGTAAACTTTTTTCTTACCATAACCAAAACAGAATTTTTTTTACAATTACAGGAGCCGTGCATTAAAATTATCCAAACACCTGAGAGCAAACTTCAACAACACTATAAAATTGCATAAGGTATTTCTCCAGCCTTCTTCGTATGTCTTCGTGGTGTAGTGGTCAGTACGCTCGACTCGTATTCGCCAGGTCCGTGGTTCGAGTCCCGGCGAAGGCGTTGCTCATTTTTCATGTCTCCTGCTTCGAAATAACCTAATGTACATTTCGAATAACAAGTACATTTGTTTGAAGGACTTCTATTTCAGAAATCCTTATTCATGCGATGAAACTAGACAATACATAGTAAATATGATTAGAACTCCTTGAAGACGTTTTATAAAATGTATTTCTTGCTCATTTTACACTAATAAAGTACTTATTGATTTTCATAACGGAATGTGTTTTAAAATCAGATCTAAAAGTTAGATATTTAAAAATTTTTAAATCAAACTATTAAATGTCTGTTCATGCCATTTATTTTGTGAAATTTATTTTTTTATCTTTTTTTTACATTTTACTTAATTTCAATAAGGTCATTCTTTTTATTTTGTTTATTTATTTTTTATATATTAGGTTGTTGTACTCTTAATTTTAGAAATTCAGCCCTGTTACGAACAATTTTAAGCATAATTCGTTGTAGGTATTTAAACGCGCTCGCTTAAAGTGCCTCATGCAGGGAATACTTTCGAAAGAAGTTGGGCGAATTACTTCCTTGTAATCACGCTGCGAATCCTGGAGCAATGAAACGTGGTGACACATTTATTTCAAGAATTTAAAAGTGGAAAAGGCTGGGGCTTTGCATCTTTTCGTTAAAAAAAAAAAAAAAAGATTAACATTCATAAAGCGACAACATCGAAAATAATTTACCGGTTGGGAGTCGGTTTACCTGCCATCAGGCTGGATTTTGGAAAATTTTAACTACCGTTTCTGTGGGTATGTTGCTACAATAAAAAAACTTAAATGGTTCGTACAACAATAAAGACGTATATCTAAAATCCTGCAATTGATTAAATAAAAAAAAGCTACGCACTAATTATGTATACGGTAAAGTCTCTTATGGCAACACATTTCTTTAGTAATCATTAAGTTCTTATGAAATCATATAATACTCTTCAGAAGTGCATACATATTATATTTACTTCCTCTCTTTAATGTAGAAGTGGGGTAAAACATGGCTGTGATTATTAATAGTCATAGCTTAGGTGCCTTACTCACATATCTCTGCTCTGTCATCACATTTAGCAATATATCTTCTCTACCACTACACAGTTGCAAAGTAGCTCCGTAAGGTGTTTTTGCCCTCTTTCTTAGTGTAATAGGAAGTCCTACCGTCCGGCTAGTACTCGAGAGGTCCTGGATTCCAATCCTGGTGAAGGCACTGCACATTTTTCGTGTTCCCTGCTTCGACAAACCTAATGACTCTACAGTGCGACACAGCTGTACACGAACAACTGAAGACAATGCTCTCGTATCCTGATAACTTATCTCTATCTCTTTCC